GCTGCAGGCTGCGCGTTATGCTTTTTTTGGGGCTGTGTCGAGTGACCCGCGCACACACAAGCATCCGTGGGAGTGAGCCTTTTGTGCAACAAAAACTGACGAGCCCGAGCTTGTGTTCTGCAAAGCATCTTTGGAATTTGGCTTCCCTGTCCTGCTCTCCTCTGTCTCAGTCCCAGTGCTGACCTGTTTGTCTCTGAGGGTTTGAAATGTCCCCCCTCCACACTCAACCATTTCATTGAAAGCTTTGTTTTCCCCACAGGAGACCTGATTACAATATTTTAGTAGAGAGCGTCCTTGAAACCCTCTTCTTAAAGGCTGCATTTTTTGCTTTCTTTGTGATTGTATCAAAGTGGCAGTTGTATGGTTTTCTAGATGATTTGGGATATCACCCTGAGAAAACTCAAACCAAAAACCTTTACCACTGTAAAGCCCTGGTACAAACCTTAAGAGACTCACACCTTTCCTTTGCTAAAGATCACTAGGAGTGTATAATATTGACAAACATAATGTTGATTTTCTTTCATGACCTATAAGACATGCTGAATGGGCACAGAAGGGAGAGATGCCATTCTCAGGTTTAATAATCTAATCTGAAGAAATTATACATCATGAAAACACTTATATTGCTAGATAAGCATATTTCCTTCAAACTGAACAATTACAAACATTATTAATATTGATACCTTTTTCAGTTTGATAAACTCTATAGTGCCACAAGGTTATTATACTGATGCTCAGCTACATTCATTAGGCTGACAAGGTGTGCTGATCAGATATAGTCAGTAAATCTGTGAAAGGTTTTCGTTCATGTACTAATTTTACTTTAGAGTTCCAGTTTGAAACATTACACACCAGAAACTTGCGCAGCAGATGCAGATAAAAGTGCACAGCATCAGAAGGACAGAGAGGCTCATCTGTTACCTACGCAGTTCTTTTATACGCTGATGTTAAAACATTTTAATGTTTGATCAAAGTTAGCAGCTTTTGAAAGACCTCGTCTCTGCTTTGAAAGAAGCATAAATCAAGAACAGCGCACTTTTCAATTAGACCGTAACTGGTAGAAAGCACCGCTGTGTGTGTGTGTGTGTGTGTGTGTGTGTGTGTGTGTGTGTGTGTGATTTAAGGAGGTGTGTTGCATTTCAAGGCCCCTTGGTTAGTCAGGCTGGGCTGTAAATCTTGCAGTGTCTCCTGGTTTACTTGGGCCCATAAACTAAAAGGCAATTATGGAAAACAACTGGATGTAAGATATCTTCAGTCCTGCAAGATTTGTGGTTCCAGCCTAAAAGGATTTTTACCCTCCTGTCTACCCATAAGAAATTGCTTTGCCTCACCCGCCATCACTTCAAACCCAGCTTCCCGTCAAGCATCGATTGGCCCCTCATGTCTTTGGCAGATACAAGACATAAACTGAGTAAAATACCATATCTAAAAATACTGTGTCAGACCTTGGCCAGTGGCCATTAGGTTTGGCCCACTCATGATTTATTCATATGGTGTCAGACACATACACACTCAGCATGAACTGCACTGACCCATATGCATCATGTCTTACACACAGTAAGACAGTAGGACTTACTGGTCGGACGGCGCCAGAGCAGTACCCACATTTGTGTGTCACATTTTATTTGATTATATTCATCATCATTGATTATCAGGTTTCTTTCCTCAGCCTGAGCTCAGCCTGTGTTATATTGGCTTATTAGGTAGCCGGATGCTTTAGTGGAAAGTTTTACATTGGGAGAAATAGTACCTCATGAATATAAATATGAGCAGCTTGGGCTGCTTTGATCTCAGCCTGGCGGAGAGCCCTGAGTGGAGTGGGCTGGAGCTGCCTTTGCAGAGCTTTCTCTGCCTATTTGAACCATTTGCATAATAGTTATAACTGTTGAGGCCAGCAGTGCAAAGCACTTGATAAATGTGGATTGTATTAGAAGAAAGAGGAGATGCCAGAGTGTTACTGCGGGTGTCTGTGCTCATACAAAGTATATTTTGGTGTGACAGCAAGAGAGAGAAATTGCTTTAAGGTAGCGTGTGTGTGTCATGAGTGTGCACTGACTGACTGTCATTGTCAAAGCATTCTAAACACAATACTGGAGTTTCATCCAACAGATCATGTACATAATGTAAATTTTATTAAAAATAAGTTTCCAAAGCTTGATTTTCTACCTTCCAGGCAGTCATGTGGTTGAATTCATTTCACTATTGTATAAAAAACAACTTCAAGAGACCTGAAACTGACGTGAGATAGGTAATCAAGCCATGCTAGTGACCGTTTGTTGCTATATTTTTCAGTAAAGCTTGTTTTACAGTAATGCAGGAGCCACCAGGAACAGGTTTGAATGCTCATCTTGTTGGTCCGTCTAAGGACATTCGGATATGTGAGGTTTAAGAGTCACCTGCCAAACAGCACCCTTTCTAATGCAAGAAATGATCAAGTACACATGATCCTATCACAACATTCATCTTTGCTTATTGGTGATCTTTCAGGTTGGATCTTGTGACCACATACCTTCACAGTAGAGTGTTTTTTTTGGCAGCCATATCTCAAATATCAGATGTCTGATGTCCTGGAATCCACAAAGGACGCAAACGTATTACCACAGAACAATAACACAACTGATTACCTGTGTAGAGCAACGTTTAAGCCTGTCCAGTTTATTTTCATAATACAATGAAATTAATCCAAACCAGTAGTATGCATTGCATACAAGGTAGGAAATGAATCTCAAGATTTGTGGTATGGTTTAAAAAATTTGTTTTAAGTAATATTTAGTATTGGAGATTGGTATCTAATGTGCTAAAACAAGCAAAATTTCAAGTACTGCCCTTTTAAACGCTACCTGTGCTATAAGCTGGATGAGCACAAAAGGAGAATTTGCCTCCCTCTGGTCCTGTTTGTAGTCAGAAAGACTGCTGCGTATTTGTGTGTTTTATGGTCTCTAGAAGGTTTTATGGCTGGTGGGGGTGTTTATGCACGGGACGGGAGAGGGTCAAAAGGGTGACATCAATAGTGATCCTTAATGAGGTTGTCTGAACAGAAGGAAGGGAGGGGATATGTGGGTGATTCAACAATCGATGTTGATGGGGAGGTTGTGGAGATACAATTTGCTGCGTAGAGCTGAAGAGGCACAAATTCAAGTTGACAAAACAATGGTGCCTCTTGGGTAGGTGTCGCCTGCTGTGACAGGAAACCTAAACTCACAAAGACAGCCATCATATCAGTTACAAAATGTATTCAGGCCATGGTAGACTTACGAAGGCATACTGTGGGATTGGTACATTTGGATACACCATGGTTTTCATGAGAGACAGGGAATTTGCAAACAAAATAAGCTGCTTCATCACTTCATTCAATTGTCCATAATGTGTATTGAACAAAGTACTTCTATCAGGTTTTTATAAGGCTGTTTTTAAGGCTTGCTTTAGCAACCTAGTCGGATCGGAGTTACATAACAGGATTGTGATGTGACATATGCTGCCCTACCTCAGAAAAAAACAACATAACTCTCACTGAGTACATGTTTTGTGTGATCCTGTAGTTTTGATTTGCCGTTGGGCTTCTAAGAGGCAAGACTGATGCTGTAACAACTGCCTCATGAAATAAACATTTTCAAATTGGTTTGGGATTTGTCCTCTTTGTGAAGACATCATTATTTATTGTTCTACTATTGTTTTCATGGAGGTCAGCTGTGTATGTGTGTGTTTGTTTTGTAGTGAAGTGCTATGCTGTGATGTTGTGGGAAGCTGAGTTGTTCTAGCTGTGCTCTGTGACAGCTGTATGTATAGAGAAACACAGCTGATGAACGGTTTGTCTCTTCCTCCAGAGACCAACAGCGCAGTAAATGGGCAAGAGGTCCAAACTAAAATATCTCAACAGCTATTGGATAGACTGCCATGAAATTTTGACATGCATAGTTCCCTGAAGCTAAAGCATACATACTTTGATGATCCCCTGACTTTTCATCTAGCGCCACCACAAGGTTGACATTTTGTGTTTTTAGTGAAATGTCTTGACAGCCATTGGATGGATTGGTCCAGATATTCATGGTGCCCAGAGGATGAATCCTAATGATATTGGTGACTCCCTGACATTTAATCTAGAGCCAACAACAGGTCAATGTTTTCCAGCGAAATATGTTAACATATACTGAATGGATTGGCACAAAATCTAATACAGACATACAAGGTTCCAAGAGGATGAATCCTATTGACTTTGGTGATCCACTGACTTTGACTCTGTATTTAGTGCTAATTAGTAAATGGTAAAATAACATAGTAACCTTGGTAAACATCATATTTGCTTAAAAGAAAATAGCATGTTATCCTGAGCATATTAGCATGCTAATGTTTAGCTCAAAGCACTGTGGCTAAGTACAACCTCACAGATCCACTAGTGTGGCTGTAGACTTCTTAGTCTTGTTATATTTTAAAGTGATTGTGTAAAAGCTCTAGAGCTTCAACAATTAAACAATCAGTTAATCAATAGAAAATTAATTTGCTACTATTTTGATAATCAATTTATCATTTTGAGTCATTAAGAAATAATACCATAACTCTCTGGTCCCAAATGTGTATGTATTTTCTGCTTTCCTTAGTCTTCTATGAGAGTAAACTGAAGGTCTTTGGGGTTTGGACTTTTGGTCGGACAAAGCAAGACCTTTGAAGATGTCACCTTGGGTGCGGAAGATTTTTACTGGGCATTTTATTTACCATTTTGTGACGTTTTACAAACAAACAATTAATCCATTAACTGAGGAAATGACCAGATGAATCAATAATGAACATAAGTGTTAGTTGCAGCCCTAAAAGGTCCAGAATGTTACCTGGTATTAAAGATTTTAAATGTGCTTAAAACAGTTTGTTAAGAAGCAGAAAGCCTATAATGATATGTTGCCATCAAGAGCATGGTCATCAGCTCATTCATTTACCATGAATAGGTCTCCCTACTTCACCTTCCTTTGAAAGCTCAGCTAATTTTTTACTTTTTCTCTTTTTTACAGAGCACCTCAACCCCCCCTTAGAGCCCTGTAACCAATGGCAACCTCAGTCCAGACTCTTCCTCTGACCCGTGGTCCCAACAAAAACTTCTCCCGTTGCGGCATGGGAAGTGTAGGCAGTCTAGTGGAGAGGCCAGATGTGTCTCCAACTAAAGGCAGCCGTGCAGTGCCCCAGGTGAGACCCAAACAGACCAACGGCCTCCTGAAGAAAGGCTTCAGCCAAAGAGAGCTACTCAACTACCTCAACATCACCAGGTGAGTGCTGCTATAAAGAATTAGATGCTTATGTAGCACATTTCACATGCTGCACTTTTGAAGGGGAGGGTACTATAAAATGTGACAGGACTTGACCTCAGTTGACCTACTGTGCTTCCAAACAGAAGAGAGCCTAAAGCTAGTCCAAGCTGTGACAGCAAGAAGGACATTATCTCTGGCCTCAGCTCTGCCAGTGCCCGTGAGGAGGACAACTTATACGCCAAGGTCTACCATAAAGACGGCACCGAGGTGGATTTGACCAAAAACTCACTGCCAAGTGGGGGCAAGTACGAAAAGGTGAATATTGCTTTTTAAAACACTGCAAAAAGGACCAATCAAGAACGTTTTAGCTCATTTGTGGATGATTAAATCTAATATTTTATCAAAATAAACTAATTTGTTGATGACTGATTATTAAACTTGTTTAAACATAATATGTCTTGTCTTGCCTTATTTTCAGCTAGAGCTGAAAGAAGTGTATTACAAGGCCACCGGACATGTAGTACTATAAGAGTTTGATCACTTCAAGAATCAGGGTAATCTTAAAGCTTGGAGACAGCTAGATTTTTAAAATATCCAACCAAAAAAATCCCAACCCCCTTCTCCCTCTAAAGCCACTCCCCCAAAACACATGTTCATTTGCATGAGTGCAAGGGCAGAGGGCACGCAGGTAGAGAGGCGGGTAGGCCAGCCAGTCATTTAATTTGGTCAAAATGGAATGACATACTTATTAGAGTCCTGTGACCGTCACAGATACCAGACTTTTGATTTATTGCTGTTGGGATGTAGAGTTAATTTATATATATAATGTAAATATAATGACAAATGCTTCTGAAATAAATTGCCTACCCCTGCTTTAAGTATTGCGTTACATTAAGTAAAGGTACTTTACTTTAAAGCATTAGGTATGAGGAGGACTGAGTGTCATTCACAGATTCAGGCACAAATGCAGATAAATGACTTCCTATTGAGTTATTTATTTAAATGATATACAACCAGCAAGTGGTTGTTTGGGCTGTGTTAAATTGACCACATCCATACATCTCTGGCAGCGTTGTGCAACACCTCTATAGCCGGTTACCAGCATAAATCAACCTTAAATCGCTTCCAGAATCTGCCACTTGCTGCGGTCTGAATTTATTGCTGCAATCAAATCTCAGCTTTTTTTTTTTTTTTTTGCCTTGAATTGATCAACACTAACAACACAGAGGGTGGAACAGTATTGATATTATAGAAACACTGTGATTTATGTTCCATAGCCAAGCCCTGTGTGTCTTCCTCTCCCCTTCAGCCTTCACCCAGCTACTTTCTACAATCTCTACATCCTCTACAAGTGCCCTGAACTTTTCCGGCTCTTGGTTTGTTTTTCTCCAGGCACGTTTTAGGTCTTCTGCCTTCAAGCCTGTCACCCCCAAAAATTTTAGCTCCATGCAGAACCTCTACCCGTCTTCCAAGTCAGAAAACGTGGACCATGGCGTTTCCAATGGGCTGCACAGAGCCTACGCCCATGTCCCTAAAGCTGTCTCCACCTCTTCCTCCTCTTCCTCACCCTCCCGTCAAGGAGGACCGACATCCAGTGGTAACAAGGTATCTAAACACGACTTTAAATTAAAGCCTTGATCCATGTATTGATGTCCATCGCCAGTTATCACCTCCACCAATAAGCTGGCTAGTCCATTTATCTGGTTGATTACTTGTAAAAATATCTTGAAAACCTAGGCTTCAGTTAAACCTGGTGGAAAGTTGAGCTATGGGCCAGGGAACAGTGAAATAGGTTTTTGATCCAGAATCCAGTCTTGGTACATTTATTGCAGAAGCAATACAATTAACTACTCATGATCTGTCATGTTATTCATTATTTGTGATAAAAAATTACAGTGATGAATAACTGTCTAATTATGACTTTGTAGGGCCACTCCTCTGTGCGTGGGATGAGCCAGGAGGATGATAACCTGTCCGACTCGGGCCATAACTCCATGAGCAGTCTGCCACCATACCGGCCTCCCTTCCGCCCACACCTGGCTCACATCAGGTCTGCTGCAGCATTATTGTCTCAGCTCTACTTTGTATTCAAAGTGACATGTTGCTATAATTGATATTTTACGTGGGTAGTGATGGAAGAGAAATTGGCCTTCATGGTTTCTTTTTTTACCCTAGTGCATCTATGGGCCACATCAACACCATCGGCTCCCTGGAACGCACTTCTCTAGGCCCAAAGGCTGCAGGGTCAGGGGGCGTGGCCATAGGGGAGATGGCGTGTCGGAGCATGGCGACCCTGAGCCGTCTGACTCCATATGGAGGGGAGGCCCCACCTCCTTATGAATGGACCCTCTCCCTGTCTGTTGAGGAAGTGGTGAGTACTGGGAAGATGGATAAGCGTATTAAGTATGATTTACAGATTGGTAAGTCATTCATGTTGTCTCTCCCAGGTCCGGGATCTGGAGGAGCGCCTGGTGGAGAAAGAACATGAGCTGAAACAAATGAAAAGAAACCTGGATGAGAGTGAGGGTGCTATCGCACAGGTGAATCTCACTGTCTGTTGTCTGTTCTCTGTCATTAATCTATACATCCATTTCTTTTGAAGTTTGACCCCCATCTGCTCGCCTCATGCAGGTGTTTGAAGGGAAACAGCGCCTGTGGGAAAGGAGGTGGAAGAGCTGAAACGCCTGTATGCCGCCAAGCTACGTCAGGTTTCCCAGCACGCCCAGCGTTCACATCGCAGCCTGCAGTTGCAGCTGTTCAAAGCCCAGCAGGAGAAGAACCGACTGCAAGAGGAGCTTGACGGCCTGAAAAGAGAACAGAGCCAGGAAGCTGGGGCCACGGTAAAGCGAACCAGTCCAACTCTGGAGGAGACGCAGTGGGAGGTAAGGCTTCAGAAGGACACTTTATGGCAGGGAGAGGCACTTAAAAAGTAGTAATAACAGGGCACAGTGGAGATAACAGAATTCCATTCTTGTTTGTCCTGTTAAATGATCACAACAAGGTCCGTAAAAGTCAGTAAAAAAGTTTCTCCTGCCCCTATTTCGTATTGTCCCATTACTCTATCTCTCAGGTTTGCCAGAAGTCAGGGGAGATCTCCTTGTTGAAGCAGCAGCTCAGGGACTCCCAGGCGGAGGTGACCCAGAAGCTGAGTGAGCTCTTCCAGCTGAAGACGCAGCTCAGGGAGACCCGCACAGAGCTGCGCAACAGGGAGGGCCAGATAGATGCACTAAAGCTTGTCCTGCAGGGGACACAGCATCGCAGATTCCCCTCTCAGACTGCACAAGAGGATGGGAAAGGAGCTGAAGAGAGTCCTTCAGCTGGGGCAACAGGTAGTTTTATATATCCGTCTATTGTCTGTGGGTACATATCGTCACTGCCAGTGTTTGAATTACGTGCTTTGAGGTTTAAAAGGAATACACCTTAGTTTACTCATGCAGAGGCACCACAAGCACAGATAAGAGTTGAAGTTAATTTGTGGACACAGCACATAACCAAAAGCAAGTCTCAAAGGACTTAATACATAAAACTTTACATAAAACCAACTAGATTGAACTGATCAACATTCAGTCACAAGGGGCAAAGCCATAACGAGTATTTCAGACCTATTTAAGGCTGCGCATGCCAAAGCAAGATGATTATATACCACAGATGTCTGTTTAATATCACAGTAAGTGAGGAATCTAAATGGGGTTTCTTATCTACACAGCCGGAGCTTGTCAGGGTTATTTTTGAGTTATGATGTTTACATGCTTGGAACAAAAATCAGGTTATTTGACTAACCAGGTCAGGAGCAGAGTTCTCTGCACATTAAAAAGCAGCCAGTGTATTTCATTATGTTTCCCCTACGGCTATGCTGGCCTGTATTTGAAGCCATGTAAACCTCTTCGTTGCAGGAGGGTGCGGGGGCCCGACAGAGGAGCGTCTGCGTGCAGAGCTCCTGCTGGAGCGACGCCAGAGCGAAGCCCAGGCCACGGCTTTCGAGGAAGAGAGGCAGACATGGCAGGCAGAAAAGAACAAGGTCATCCGCTACCAGAAGGAGCTGCAGGCCAGCTATTTAGAGATGTACCACCGCAATGAAGCACTGGAGAGGGAACTGCACCACCTGAGGGCAGGCAGAGAGCAAGGAGGAGGAGGAGGAGGGAGCAGAAAAGGGACATTGGAAAGAGAAGTGCCAGAGCTGAGCAGTGAGAGAACGGGTGAAAAACAAGAGGAGAGACCTTCCTCTGGGTTGCCGTGGATAGGGAGAATTGAATCATCTGAAATTTGAATGTGACTTATTTGCAATGCAAACTGTCTCCCTGTAGTATGTTTTCTACGGAAGAACAATGTCCACCACAAAAAGGAAAAAAGATAGACTAAAATCAGTTTCAAAAATGTTGTCATAGTGAGTTTTGACCTAAGTCTGAGTTATTCATTTTGAGTTATTCTGCGATAACTCAAAATGTTGACTTTCTTAAACAAATTTTGAGGTCAAACCTTTGATCTATGTCATCACAAAATGTTGACTTACTCACCATTTTCACATTTGTTATGTATAACATTTGATCTAGTTTTCTTCTTTTCCAAGCGACAATGGGCTTCCATAGGTTCCTGTCCATTTGCCATCCTCTGCCCATGTACCCTTGTCATTTAATGCCCTTATCCTGCAAAGACTGGACCAATCAACTCCCAAAGAGCACACCAATATGAGGGTAGTTGCACAGAAATACTGTCTGTGCCTCAGTGTCAATTTATAAAAATACAGGCAAGCATCTAGACTGTCCTGCTTAACACTTTTGTCCAATTGTAAACCTGTAAATGAGCAGATTTATATGCAGTGTGTCACTATTTTGTTTTTTTATTTGGTAATTACTTTTTGGTTTGGACTGCTGTAGAATCTTGACAGTAACCAAAGGATTCAAAGGGATTTCACGTGGCCCTGTTACATCTCAGTAGCTGCTCAGTCTGTGCAGAAGGTTCTGTGGATTCAGGTTTGACCTGGGCTCTGGGACGAAAGCTATCTGGTGCCAAGGTATTAATGCTATTTCTTTGCCATCAAGAAAAATGTGTACCCTAATGAAGAAACTGGAAATATTGGACTTTTTTCTCATTCAGTTTCCAGCAGCGAGACCTATATATTTAGTACATATTGTAATATAGTTTGATTGGCCTTTTGTCGTTGTATTCCAAGAACACTGTCTTAAATAGGCATACTTCCACATGTTCTGATTGCAATGGAAGCAATCAATAGATTATGCTGAACATGACTGTCCTGCCTATTGGTGCGATTTGTTGCACAGCCAGTAACATCAAATGCATGACGTAGATGAAGTTGTTCTTGTGTAGTTTATTATTAATATATGAACATTCAAAAGCCAGCTCTCAATCGACCTTTCAACATACTGTGACTTGTCTATTTACTGGAATTAAAGCTGTACAGTATAAATATGTATGTATGTTTGTTTTGGATTGATAATAAACATTTATGAAGTGGTGTAAAAGTAATCTGGCATTTTCTGGTGTAAGGCGGCAACCTGCATTATAACAGATTTTTTTTTCCTGTGCATTGTCTGAATTAAACTCACCAGAAATCACTTTTACAATGTCAGAGGTGCAACCGATGGCATCCACCCGAGGGATCAGACGGCTGGCCTGTTCTGAAGGGGCTTAAAATCTCCCCAGAGTGTGCCAATAAAACCCAAGGACAGGCGCTTTATGACAGAATGAACAGAGCGATTGAGGCTTTTGGGACTAATGTGGCTTTTAGAGGTTTAGCCTTCAATCCTTATCTCAACCTCTCCCTAAGGCCCTCCCTGCTCTGCCCCAGCCAGTCCTCACATACCGGCTCCCGCAGTACAGACGGCAGAGACGTGGTAGGTCAGCTGAGATGGAAACAGGAGGATCCCTGTTTGTTCAAGAAAATAAGCGCTCATATGGAAACCATCAAATGTACAAACTAGAACAGAATGCCAAGGATATCTTGGCAGGGACGAAAGTTTAACACTTCACTTTGTTTTTTTTTATCCATGTTGTTTATGGGTATGCATGAGTGAGAGCAAAAACAGTACTGTGCCAAGTTTTTAGGCAGGTGTGGAAAAATGCTGTAAAATAAGAATGCTTTAAAAAAAAAAAAAAATAGACATGGTAATAGATTCTATTTACCAGTTAATAAAATGAGTGAGTAGACATCACACTAAATCTATAAAATAGTGTGAAAAGTGAGAGATGGCACATGCAAGTCTATAAAGCAGGTCATAATCTAAATAGTTATGAGCTGGGGCTGACTCACAAGACCCTTACCTAGGCATTTAAAACATTATATAAACTGGGGCTTAATATAACTGTGCAGCTCAGGAGTGGTTCACTGAAGTGCGATGTGAAAATATTCTTACCTCACACATGCTATCACTCTGCAGGAGGGTTGCGGTGCTGAATGCCATCAGTGCTGTTTATTTGATGAATTAATTTGAGTTTTAAAAATTAGTGTACCATTTATATGGGAAAAAAATGGTTCCTTGCTGTGAAACTCGTTCAAATTAAAACCTGTAGCTCATCATCTAATAGACTTCAAGGCTGTTTGGTCTGAGTATAGATAACACAGCAATTGTGCCACCATGTGGCAATGAAAGGAGGGCTGAGCAGCTTTAAACCATGAAGGAAAATGTTATGGTAGGACCAGTCCACCACCATCACATGCCAGTACACGTCTCCAAAACTGACTTGGAGTATAAATTTTTATTTAATTTCAGATGCAAGTATATGAAACATGTTAGTGGATAAATATTTACAATAAAAGTTGCACACACAAAAGCAGGAAATGCAAACATTTAACAAAATTAATATGACAGAAGCACGGAGCGCTAGCAGTCTATCTGAAGGAACACTCGGAAGAAGCAATGAATGATTGTCAACCAAAGAAAGAAAAACAGGAAATTCAGTGAAAGTCCACACAAAACGTGCTTAAACCCACTCCAAATGAAAGCAAGATAAAAATGTTCATCTGATACTCTGAGTGTAATGTTGCATTGTCAGTATGAGCTATGCTGGTGCAGTGCTTGCTGAACAACTTAGCCTCACTAGGGTGAGGTGACATCACCATTTTCAAGAGGACACCAGGAACTTGCACTATTAGTAATGATCATCTAACCATGTGATACAATTTCCCCAAGTGTATGCTTACACATCACCAGTTGAATAGTATATACAAAGTCCAACAACACCCAAACTATCAGCCTCAGTAGTGAAATATGTGTAATCTTTGACTCCTTATATAAATGTACACCTTTAATACTAACTGCAAAGTGTCATGAACCATTGCAATGAGCCCTGAGGAAATGTATGGATTTGAATGTTTGTATTCTGACTCAATCTCAAGTAAAAGCAAAACCTATGCAGCAGAGGCATTTCTTTAAGTATACATTAAACAACAGCCACAATGTTCAGAGGACTTCCCCACCCACAACGAGTAAAGCTGAATCACAAGCCTACAGCCACTACAAGTCAGACCATACGGCTACCATCACACCACTTTACATCTCCAAATCACATGGCGTGCAAGCTTAGGATACACAATGCGTGGCAGAGTGAGGCGATGGCACAACCGTGATGCGAACCGCTGAGTCGTTAGTTCTGAAAGTTACGCTGCAGTGTTGATTATGCATTTTGCGGTTCAGTTTAATTTACATGAGCCGTTGTGGCAGCTGCAATAAAAAATAGAAACAAAGCACATTTCACAGTAGTATATATTTTTTGTTTCCTTTTTGTCATTGCTTGTTAAATACATACATAGAACAAGACAAATGGCTTCTACAATGAGGAAAATCTTGCTGGTGCAGTCAGTCACAAAAAAAAAGCTGATCCACCATTGATGAGTTAATCTTTCTACTGATCAAACCAACAGTTACTTTCAAGCTACGAGAGGCCTTTATTACATAATGGAGGAGTAATGGTTCACAATCAAGAGTTCAATTCAAGATAGACTTCCACAGTTCCCTTAACCAGAAAGAAACCTTCAGCAGTCCGTTACTCTGTAGTTTTTCTCATGTGTAAGATAAGTTTTATTACCATCCTGAAATCAGAAACTGCCTATCTATACCCATTTACCCACACTCAGCCATCCACATTCATTCAACTGCTTCTGTCACAAAAAAGGATAAGAAAAAAGAAGCAGTCTTTGAACTCAAACTTTCGATAAAGCTGAGAAAACAAACACTATCAAGTATTACATACTTTGAAAAGATAAGCCTATAAACTCTGCAGGCATTTTGCAAGTTTCAATGAATGATCCTTTTTCAGAGGTGCTTCTTTGTGAGGATGTTCTCATTACTGACAGACTCCTCACTCTACTACAGGTTGTAGTTGGACCATCCCTGCTGGACTCTGTATACTACGCAAAGTTGGAGGGTCCGAGGTGGGTTACAGGATGGCCATGGCTGTCCAGAGGAGCACTGGGATAAAACCTTAATGCTTACAATAACAGGCCAAGAGGCCGGGGACAGAGGAAAAGGGCCAGAGCAAATGGTCCTGGAAATGCAAAGAGCTCCAGGGAACTTCATCCTTACTCATGAGGACAGTGTGCGGTATCAAAAGTAGATCTGCTTGGCATGTGACGGATTCTGCTCCATGGGGCAGTACGGACATTTCAACCTGAGGACGAGACAGGGGAGGGTGAGGAGAGCAGGGACAGGCTGTTACAGTGTATGGTTTGTTAGTTTAACGGGCCACATTGGTTGTTCTGGTTGATTGATCTTGTACATTTTATAGCTAGCCATTTTTTTAAAATAAACATTTTGAATTGATTTCTTAATTTATAAAAATTTTAAAAAGACCACTAGGCTTAAAAAGTGCTTGCTTTTTTTGCCAACGTTGTGGTATTGCTGTGTGGTAATTCGGCTGACAGCAGGAACTATTTTGAAAAGCGTCCCTTCCTAGATGCTGCTAATTCCATGTTTTGAAAAGTCGCCTGGCTCAACATGAAGTTTTTCAATGCAGGAAACCACCAAAAATCAATTCACAATGACCATATTTGCCATTCGTTTAGTAAGTGTGATTTTCCAACAGTGTGGCTCTTAAGTACAATGCAATTTTGGCAGCTGACTTAACAGTGCTTGTGCAAGTGCTGGTTAATTACTTGGAATTAATTCACCAAGAATGAGCATGTTAGAGTTAAATGTTGTGATTCAAGATAAAACAATGAACAACCTTATCCTACCATGCACATATCAGTCATATGATCACAGTCATAGTCACATAGCAGGCTGTATTTCTGACTTACTTCCCAGCGTTAGTCAGTTTGTTGAGGGCATCTCTGGAGATGACGTGGCCACAGATGAGCTTCATGGGAGGATTGCTCTCTGAGGTCTGCTGCCTGAGGATCGGGCAGGCGAACACAGAGTGGTACCAGCACTTCTTCCCGAGGTCAATTTCAATCTACATGAAGAGACGTGATGTGAATCAACTGAAGGGTGAAAAAGAAAGGGAAGGAGTACTAGAAACACTAGAAATTCAAAGGAACTTACAGGCAGCTCATCTTTGTGCGTCCATACGCCACTGCACTGTCTCTGCTCTATCACCTGCTTGATGTTCATCAGCACTGGCAAGGCCATACAGCCTGATGCAAAACTGCAGAGAAACAGACATGACAGCACTGAAAAAAGGCCACATGGTGATGACACTGCAAAAGGCACTATTTACATAAAATCTACAAATTCATTGTTACAACTTTTACAATAAATGTAAAGATTTTAACAGGAAATCAGAGATTAGGTCAGGTGTGTTGTTCATGGTTTTCTAACCTAACACTGAGTGGTGACTCTACAGAGAGGCCCAGTAAAGCGCAGGCATCCCTGGTGAAGATGTTACAGATCTCAGCCCACTGATTTGTCTCCAGCAGACTGCGGTACGGAGAGTTATCAATGCCATGACGCAGGTACACCAGACTGCCCATCAGGATCTGAATATCTGCAGGGACAAAAAATGTACAGGTGAGGAAAACAACAAAATTCCTTCTTGGTTGCTATTATATATATATATATATTATATTGCTTGGTTGCTGAAATGTGCTCGGGACTCTTCTCAAGAGTCAGAGCCTCAAACTCTTTCAGATATAAGAAAAATGGGAGACAACTCGAAGTTAAGCATTTTTTAGTGTTCCTATCAGGAATGTCACAATGATGCCACTGTATACTGCCTACCTCTCTGGTGTTGAGAAGCGAAGGGCTGGAAATGCCTGGCATACTGCAGGGCCTCCATTTGGTTGCTGATTCCTCCGCTGAGCAGGCTGATGAAGTACAAGCGGTGCAACTTGAATTCTAGACTGCTGTTCAGGTCCAAAAGGCGCTGCCGATTCGTCACAGCCCACCTGAGAAGGCACAGACAAAAATAAGTACAGTCAACTATGTTGACACTGACCAACAAACTAGAGGGAGTGTTTTTTAATCATCATTCTGTGTTCAAAAGTGATACCCTTGGCATAACCACAGTAAACCTAGCCAAACATATCTGGGGTATTTAGAAGGGGTAACAGAGTGGCCACAGAGTTCCCCAAAGTGTGAGGAATCTGCCAGATGGGAAAAGTAGCTTAAGCATTTTGCAATTATGACTTTATTATATTATAACTTTTTCTTGTGACATTTATTTCCACGTCACCCTGTATTGATAGGAGGTTTCTGTACTTTTTGTAGTGCTTTTTAACTTAAAGCAGCTAAAATGTCTATCTCTATCAAGTCATTTTACTCTCTTCAAAGATCTAGACACAGGTAACAGTAAAAACAAAAAATATAACATACTCTAGTGCTGGCCTGAGATCTTGCATCCTCAGAGCTTCAAGGATTCTGTTCAGCTCCAGGAAAGGCTGCTTCATACTCATATCTATAACTACACCAGACTCCTAGAAAACAGACATTGTGAATTATTAGGAATTCTTCCAATAATTATCCTGACCGACATGCAGTTCAATTAATTTGCATTAATACATGGATCATCTCATCTCGAAAGGAATCATCTCAAAGGCTTACATCAAAAATATTAGTTTGAACGCTTCACAATTACCTGACAAAGATCCTCTGCTACACTGAGCATCCCTTGTCTGTAAAGGTGCTCCACAATGGTCTCACTCAGGTATTTCTGTCTCTCTGGGGTGTCCCACACCGTCTCCGCCACCACAGCACTGATCTCTGCATCAAAATTCTGCAGAGAAGCATTTCAGAGATTAAATATATATATGTCAAAGGTTAAATGTTAAAGAAAGTTGCTGCCTGTCCTTACCCTGTCAATGGCTTTGCCCACTTTTGACACACTGCCATGGATGTCCTTATGTCGGGAGGCTAGCATCTGCACTGTTTCTTTAATATTCTTACAACACTGTGCCATGGTCTGAGATAGGACTGAAAGGTCTGCATCTTGTACTCCTGCAAGAGAGAAAAGAGAAAAGTCGTGACTATGGGAAAAGGAAATTAAAACTACTATAAAAAGAAGCTTGAATTCACTTCAGTCTTCAGTCACCTAATGTCATGTAACAGTTTTCCTTACCAAAAGCAACTAGCTGTCCTCGTATCTCACAGACACTGCGCAGGAGCTCGTCTAGCCTCTCCTCAGACTGGTGGCCATACATTACAAAGCGGTGGAGCACTTTCTCCAGCTCCCGCTCAACACATGCACACTGTTCCATGGTTCAGACTGGAACACTCACACACACACGACGACAACACCTAGATTTAAGAGAAAATACAGGACAACAGAAAAACACAAGTTAAAACCAGTGAACTACTAATACAGTCCGATTAAGACTGGATTTCTGAGGCCAATTCCTATATTTGAGAGTTTGATAACAATATAAAGGCTGATGTTTTGAATTTTTTCGGGCCACAGTTGTTTTCATCGTAGATTCATCTGAGAATAGTGAAAAAAATTCAATTACAAATTTCCTAAAGACAATTGTTGATATTGTCCGACCAACAGCTCAAAACCCTAAGATAGTCAGTTTACGAGTACATAAGACACAGAAACACAGCAGATCCTCAGCTGGAACTAGGTAAAAAAAAAATTACAAACAATAAATAAATTTTTTTTTAAAGCAGTGGGATCAATTTCAGGTCAATTGACTAATCATTTCAGCCCTTTTACCTAAATTAAAAGCACAACAAATAATTGTTTATAAGAATGCCCTAAAATTAGTTTTTAAATAATTGAGACCAACATATGCACTAGGCATGACCCTTTAATGTTGAAATATAAACATCTGATGCTATGTAATGGCACCAGTTTTTCTAAACAGCCTCAAACATGTCTTTGGCATTTTTGAACTGCAATTTCTTGTTACCAATCAGCAAATAGAGATATATTAGTCCAGCTGATGTATTGGTCAGACTCAAGTAATGAATGTTTTTCTTTTCAGTGAACTCGCCGTTTACTACAGTTGATTTAACACAAAAGATGATCTAACAATTTTGATTGTGCAACTATTAAAATATGTAAGATCCCCTTCCATTATTTTAATGTCACAAACCAGTTGCCTGCAGTATTTGAATAAACTCATATCATAGTCAATCCTACGATTGTCACACAGCTGCCTCTTGAACGAAACAGCACAGGCGCTGAGGCACAGTACAAGACCTTTAACAAAAAGTAAACAAAATAATTAAAGGAAGAAAAGGCTGATCTACCATGTAAGTTAATCAGCTCATTAAAAGTTTGGCCTGGTGTAATACAGCTAACAAGTAGTCAGGCCCTAACAACATTAAACGCAGGCAGGCATTGTACTCTGCGGCCTGGCGTTTACTAGTGTTAGTCGCAGCTACAGTAACAACCATACAAATGTATAATTTAATCATCAGACGAAGAAACAAAAGGCTATTCGGCAATTTTGTTTCAGCAAATGGGCTGCATACAGATACTAATAATTCATTGTTAACATCAAATAACTGCTATATAAATAGCTTTGCTGTAACGTTAACTCACCGTTTATGAGCTGAAAACAGAAAATGTCCACTGAGCATTTGCCGTAATAAAGCTAACCAACATAAACGAAAGCTATATTTCTATTTAAATATTGAAATTCCGGTTTCGTATTTTGATTACTCATTAGCAATGATAAATATGAAGTGCCACAAATTGTTAACCATGTATTTTGATTCGTTGCGGTAGTTTTCGAAAATTAAGCTGTCGCACAGCTAACATAAACAAACGGTATCACAGCGGCTAGCTAGCTATAAAAGCTCGCCATTGCTAACGTTAGCAGCTAATGAGCTAGTTGAGATTCGCCAGTGTCTGACTGACAAGGCCCAAATAATTTCTAGAGGGAATGACAACCCGCTTTTCTTCATTATTTTGTGTTATTCCAACACTTAAAACACCTATCGCCGTTTAACTAATTTCTAAGATATGTTTAAATAAACACTACTCACCTATCCTGCTAATTAGTTAGCAAACATTAGCGTTAGCCACTTGCCTGTTATGGCAACACTTGACCAGCAGTCGTAATGCGGATCTTCCTGTGTCGCATTCTGCGTAAATTGGACATTTCAAAATAAAAGTCATGTTCTCTGCAACATCAAAGACTGACAGGTCTTCGTGTACTATATGATTTCCACTTGAATCAGGTATCGCTCTTGTACAAGGGCGTTTTGAGTCTGCAACAACTCATACTTTAAAGGTTGGCACCGCCATAGCCTACAGGATGCTGATCAGTAACGTTTTATTGTTAGATTGTCAAGGTAGAGCTCTTTTGTATCTCCACTTTATTAAAAACACACCAACGTTACAGATTATTTGGCTAATTAGCAGAGAAAAGGAGCGAATTTGGAGCAAGTTTTTTTTCCTCCTGAGAGCAAGAACCACAACAAATTTGAATAGAAAATAATTGTCAGGTTAAGAAGTAAAATCGATTGAATTGGGCCGTATAATTAATGAATAATTGATATGGTTACTTATAGCTTGTATACAATATCATACTTGACTCATTTACAAAGTACAAGGTTGGTTTATTTGTCACATCACAACATGTTGTAAAGTGAAATTAAGTTTGTAACCCTTCTGCTAGCAGACAATACAGTAATACAAAAGCAATCATATGGAAAACAGAAATAAACTATATTCAATGGAGCAGTGCTGAGGAAGAATTTGATTTTAAAAGTCTGATAGCTTGGGGGGTAAAGATGCTCTGCAGTCTGGTGGTGCCGCAAGAGAAACTTGGCTATGTCTCTTCCAAGAAGGCAGCAGGGTGAACAGGCTGTGGCTGGGATGGGTACTGTCCTTTAGTATCCTTTTGGCTTTGCGTAGGCACCTCGCCGATATCACTGATGCTCAGGAGATGGATACCAATGATCTTCTAAGCAGTTTTAATTACCCGCTGCAGAGCCCTCCAGTCCTGGGCTGTTAATAAATCTATTTTAACTTTTTTCCTTTCATGAACAGACTGTTTGAATAGGAACCACACTCCCTGTTTAAAACATCACATTTGTGCTTAAAAAGATGAAAACACACATATGGCCTGTTGTTTACCTCCTGAATAGAAATGAAAACCTGTAGAAGATGTAAGGTATAGTGGCTATCGAAGTTGGCCTACATGAGGTTATCTTTTTGTCCCTTGAACTGATTTTAAGGGCATTTACTAAACTCTGAATAGGCCTCTCATTACATTATATTGCAAAATAAACATTCAATTTGCGGCACAAAGATTGCCATGCTGCTGCCACACTTTCTCTCCATCTGCTGAGAAATTGAGACCTTCTGTGTATTTTAGGACTGCAGGATTATTACAGGCCTAGCCCAATTCTTCATATTATAATTGCAATTGTAATTTTAATTTAATAGAACTGCTATTATGCTAAATCCATATTTTAAATACATATTGGACTCAAAGTAGAACAAAGGCTGCTGACATTGACTTGATGCTGATGGACAACGGTGGTTATATATAATTGTGATTTGATCAAAATTATTGCTAGTGACAATTGACACATGTCCTTACCAAATTCTGCACCCTTGTCTAGTTTCACCTGTAGCAATGCTTCATATTTTTTAAGCCGATCATATGTTATGTATGTGAAGTCTTAATCTTCCAAGTAACAAGGAAGCCTAAGCCTAATAGCAGTCATATGTGTGTTGAGGAGTTAAAGGTACAATATTTTATTCTGAAATGTAGTGGAGTAAAAGTGAAAAGTTGCATGAAATATTCAGGTAGAGTACAAGTATCTGAAAATTGTTCATTACTGATAACTAAAAATAGAAAGTGAAAATATAACATTAGAAATGTGTCTTATAGAGCTAGGCCATGCAAAGTTAATCACATCCTAAAAGAGCAACTAGGTCAGTTTATAAAAGACACATTTGAAATGTGATCTTGTGTTTATATTCTTACTGTTTGTCATCAATACTAGCACTCCTAACCCGTCATGAGACTGGACATTTAGCATCATATCCCACAAATGGAAAGCAAGAAGAGAGAGTTGCCGAAATGCATTTTGAAAAGTTAGTCATCTTTATTTATCTTAACACATAAATAAGTGCTGTGCCAAACTGCATTTGACAATTTGTTCAATATGTGGAGACTGAACATCAGCCATCAGTGCTCCCAGGTTTAGAAGATTATTATATGTTTTTCCACTTATAGATGCCACGCAATGTATTGTTTATGCATGCGTTTTTGGTGTGTTGCATTGCTGATGGTGAGGTCTTTGGACTTGAACAGGCTTTGTGACTAATCTATCAATGATGTAGACTAACGCTCCCCATTGCTGAAGTGCTCATCATTCTTTCCCTCTGAGTCCTCCAGTCTACTGTACTGCCATAGCCACAGAGGTTCAAATTCATCAGCACTTCTGTACGCTTAAATTCACACTATTTCATACCCAACACTCACATATACATTCACACATGCATGCATGTTGTCCTCTCTGACCTTTTGAAACTGTATGGTTCTGAAAAAACATGTTTTACACTTTCCCTCTGTGTTTTTCAAGTAATATCTTTGCTTATTAATAACACAATGAAGTAGTGAATGCTAGTTTACTGTATAAGTTCTAATCATATAATCCATCCTCTCCTTACTACCTGTTAAGAGTTCAGAAGCAAGATGATTCATGTTGGTCATTCCATCAGAGCCTCCACTGAAATATGAAATCCCTTACAGGATATCTTTCAAAGGGGATTTGGAGTCTATAAACACACATTCATAAGAAATTATGAGATTATACAGTATTTATGGTTTAAAAAATGATATATAGTTGTTGCAAAGCTCTTCAAGAAGAGCCAAATTGCTCCACTAAGCTCAAGGACTCCGTGTGCACTTGTGGCCATGTATGATACTTCAGACAGAAAAGGATATACATATAATAGATTGTTGACTTTCCAATGTTGAAAGCGATCTCTCAACCCATTGATATGACAGCCATAATATACCCTGAGTCACAGCCTTATGCAACATTCAGTCGGTGCTACAATCAAAGATTTTCCATTGGCTTGCCCTGAGAGATTTAATGACTGAGAATGAATGGTAATCTCGTGAGGTATTAGGTTAGGGACAGAGGGCTTATCCAAACTCACTACCATCAAACATGCCCAGACAGCCTTAATGTGGCTCAGAGGGTGCTGCTATAGTAGCAACACTACATTAAAATGGCATGATCCCTTTTGTTTTGACAGTTTTCATCAAATGTTTGTTTGACAGGCAAGCATAAATGTTAATTTAAAATGCAATTTCCAGACGTTAAAATGAAAAACATGAATTTAAACATGAGAGAGCACCTTACTGATGTTATGCACGTGTTGCTAGCTACCATGCAGCACACAGGAGTTCTTCATGTGAGCTGTCAAGCTACAGCATGTCATTCAGACACACACAAACACCTACATAAATACACAGATACATACAAGCATACATTAACTACACCCTCAATGTTAAGTTTAACCTCATATGAAGTGGTTAAGTGGACAATGTGTGGGCCGTACTACGAGCTCTTTATTTCCCCTTTCTTCCCCCAGGCAAACAGCTAAAGCTATGGCTATCTGGCCCTGATAGTATGGGTCTATATTTAGAGGAGCCCTGTGACTGAGCTGGCTGTAAGTGTCAGATTCCAGGCGCACTCATCCATCCTGGCCGGATCAGCAACTGCTGCTAACTATAAACCCACCCACCCCCAGTGCTGCCCCTCGCCCAGCGCACACAAAAAAGCTAATGTCGAACCAAAGCCCAGCCTGGAGAAGAAAAAAGATCCAGGTTAGACTCAGTAAGCAATTTCCCTAAGGCCAGCTCAGAAGGGAGGGGCAGAAATAGAGATGGGAGAATTAGAGGATATAATGGGTCTGGGCAAGATGTCCCTCTTTGCTTTTTCTATTCAAGTCTGATACATGGCAGTGCCTTTTACATTCTGAAGTTGTCTAGCCAGTGTGGCCCTGCCAGACTGAGCTGTACAGAGGTGCTCAGTCCTGGATTTTGGAGCAGTGGATTTTGAGAGACAGTTTGCTGGATGAGGGGCAGATACTGAAACATAGAGAAACTCGATCAGCCTCATCATTGGCCAAAGGTACAGTACCAATCATTCTGTCTTTCTCTATTTGCCAAAGGGAGTGGAATCTCTTTCTCTAGTCAGTCCTATACCAAGGCAATGTGGAAAGTTTAGATAAAGGGTATGTTGGACAGAGGTAATATAAATATTATCACTTTCCATATATGTGAGATAAATATATTCCAGTCTTTGTAATTCAAAATAAATCACATATATGATGTCTCGATGAAAACATGTGAGCTTGTAATTCACCTGTAAAGACACTGAATTTCTGGTATCAGCTAAATATCTTTTGTAAACTTAAAGTTATTGTCTTTATTTTCTCTTTTCTCCTGTTAATTTCAAGCTTGCTGCTTCTTTTTTTATTTGTTTTGAATCCATTTTGGAGACTTAATAACTCTGTGTACATATTCTCAGAACATTTGAGGGTTAAAAGCTAATTTTCTGTAGGCACGCTAACAAAAGAGAAACAATGCATTGTTTCGCTTTAGCCTCTATATTTGCTATTAATAGGCATTTGCTTTTTATTCATCAGTGTTACTGGGGCTATAAATGAATGAGCTACACACCCTCCAGGTTACCATATCTTATTTCTAGTCCAGGAACGGAGCCCATAGCAGACTAGAGGAGCATACTGGACTGGCCACAGTGACAATTTGGAGCTTGTGGACAAGCGATGGACAGCTATCCGCTCCAGGGGGACAGCTACTCCTTCCTGCGCAGTGCGCCCCACGCCTTTTCCCTGTGTCGTGACGGCACCCCCAATCACGTTGAAATATTTGACATCATCAATGTCCCTAGTCAGCGCAGTGCCATTTCCGAGACCACCTGCCTGTGTGACATTTTGGAGACGAGTGTGAGTCGCCCTCCCTCTCAACCACCCCTGCTGTTGGGGCTTTTGTCCCTTCCCAGAGGGAGGTGGATGGAACAACTGCTGCGTCACCCCTGGTGGATGATCTGAACGACTCCTCAGGCTCTTACCACACCGCACAAGGATCCAGTGAAGGAGAGGAGGGCTTTGAAGATTCAAGAGAAAGGTTTTACAGCCCCCTTTTGCAGAGCGAGTCTTCAGAGAGGAGGCAGCAGGAGAGTGAAGGACTGAGTGTAGGGCATCCAGAAGTTTCTGTGGGCAGTACCCCAAACTTAGAACCAAAAAGCAAATCACTAGTGCCTCAGCTTAGTACAGCTAGCCCATCATCTGAAGTCCTTAACATTGGGGAGAGGACACCCTCTCTTGGACATAACAGCCCCTATACCCTCAGTCCAGAGGGAAGAGCGTCATCCTTATCTTCTTCCTCAGTTGAAAATAGATTGTCACCATCACCATTTAATTCTAGTCAAACTCATTCAGAAGCTGAACCAAGGGAAACACTCCTACTTTAAAAGATAGACACAGAAGCCTCTCACATCAGTCTTTAAATCCAAGTCCTGGGCCTAGGGACTGTGTCAGCTCATCCTCCCCTGAATCAGTGAACACCCAATCTGAACCTGAATTCAGGGCAGCAGTCTCACCTGAGCCAGGGAGCAGCTACTTTAATCAACACAGTCCCTCACCTGAGCACACTTCCAAAGATTTTTCTCTAGATTTGACAGACTCAGCCTTTGAATCTAGAGCCATCCTTTCATCTCCTTTACATCCATCCAGTAGTATAAAGTTATTATCCCAGTCAAGAGAAACACTGGTCTCTCCTGTACTGAAGAATAGGCCCTACTCTCCTCATACCCCAGCATCATCTCCTTTTCCTGAACTACGAAGGACGGTCTCCCTGCATGATCTCCTCAGCAGAGGCTCCACACCTGATATTGAAGATTCTGCTCACACCCCTGAGCTGATTTCAGATCTTACCACTGCAGAAAGAAACAACACAACCACTCCTGAGAGCCGAGATTCAAGGTTATCAGTCGAATCTGTCAGTACGGTGTCTACTCCTGCCCTACGATACACACCTCTCTCACCTGTCATTTCAATAACAACATCTCCTGTGCTTGTGGAGAGTAGTGTCTCACCTGAATTAAGACACACAGCTCCCTCACTGGGCCTGATCAGTGCTGCTTCTCCAGCTAAGACTGTCTCTCCTGGCCTGTCACATACTACAATACAATCCAATACAATAAGACACATTTCCACACCTTCCGAAATTAGGACCCAGGTGTCTTCACCTGTGGTAAGTTATAGTTTATCTCCATCACCTGGAGTTACGAGTAACTGCTCTCCCATAGGGCACAGACATACTGCCCCCTCCCCTGAAATAAGGATTACAGCATCCAGTAGGAGAGAGCAGTCATCTGAAGCCGAGACAATATCAGCCTCTCCTCTCCTAGAGCCTCAGTTTGACTCTGCCTCATCAAGAAGCCTCACCTCGTCCCCTCACATCACAGGTATTTCTTACTCTGTTGTTCAGCCTGAAGACAGGGACACTCTCCCATTTCCTGAGCTCTTTCGTCTCTCCACCCCTGAGCCTGATAGGACACGTGTCTCCCCTGAAGCAAGAAGCCCTACCCCAAGCAGAGACAGTATACAAAGCAGTATAGCAGAGTCCACTGATACACCACAAGACTCACCTCATATGTCAGGCTTCACAAGCTCTGCCCTCCAGCCTGATATACCTGGATCGCATCAACGTAGGTACCAAACACCTTCACCTCTTTCAAAGCATCGCACTCCCTCACCTGAGCCACGGTATCAAACCTCTTCATCTGACAAGAGTCAAAGTCCCTCACTTAGACACCGAAGTAAAGATCCATCACCTGTTCCCCCATCTCCCGAGCAGCAGAGGTATCATCAAAATTCACCAGCAAACCTCTCCACAGAGTACAACTCTCAGTATACACAGTCTACTCCACCTCTAAGAAATACACCTGATGTTGAGGGGGATTCCTATTTGGAAAAAGAGAGTGTGTCACCCTCACATGAATTATACAGTGAAGACAAATCAGTTGTAGCTGAAATTAAAAACAGATCACCAGTGATTGCAGTCCATTCACCTTTATACACCTCACCTTTCTTAGCTGTGGAAAAGGTAGACAGTTCACTGACACAACAAAGCACAGAGAGAGAAGCAACACCAAAGGAAGCAAACCTTCAGGATAACTCAAATTTAACCTCCTCCTCTGGGGAAAAACAAGCTATTGGGCCTACCTTTTTTCAGAAAGAAGATACTTATAATAACCCCCCTTTTGAAATCAAGTCTCCTTCCCCTAATCTACCAGTCTCTAAGGACAGGAATCAAAACCTTTCACTTGTCCACAGTACTTCATCCAACTCACCTGTGCAGAGATTGGACAACCCACAGCCTCACTTCACTTATTCCCTAACTTCTGAAAGTAGCAGCTTATTAAAATCAGGTTGTACACCTGAGCACGTGAGAAGACAGCTGTCAACCAGTGTTAGACGTGAAAGCAAAGAGAGATTCACAGAGGACATGGCCCACCATGTAAACAGAAGGCGGACTCCCTCTCCGCCACTCACCAGGTTTACACCTGTTCACATCCTAGCCCCTGAGAAACCATACAGACAGTGGCAGAACAGAAGCCGCAGCCCCTCTCAGGTTGTAGCATCCTCACAGAGTGGTAATTTAAAAACAGTAGTGACAAATAGGGAAAGCCCCAATGTTGCCCCCGTTGACAATAATAGCCAGAGCCACTGGGTCAGCCTAGGAACGCAACTGGAGATGGAGAGTGAAATGCAGCTGGAGGTGGATAGAGAGCTAGGTAGAGTGAGGCATAGGGATAGGGAGATAGACAGAGAGAGAAAGAGGGAGGAGCGGGTTCTGGAAAAGGGGAAGGGGTGGCAGGGGGATGCCAGTTACAGAGGGGAACAGGTTGAGCTGTCATTCAATGCCAGGAATAGAAAAGGGCCTGCGAGTCGCAGAACAGCTCCCACAAGCAGAGAGACCCGTCAGGGACTGCCAACAGTGCATTCCTATTCAGAGAGCTTGCTTGCCGCCAGACAGCTACAGCAACAACATAGTCTGCTTAGACTTGCTTCCCAACAAGACACCAGTGGTGGTGTTCCTAGCAGACGGCTTCAACCTCCTGCACCCCGGAACAAGAAAAGTGCTCCTGGACGTGTGGCTGTAAACAGGCCCTGCCGGAGTTCCAGCTCCAGCATGGGAAGTGAGCTTGATGAAGCAGATGATGAGGTGAAGTGGTTTACAGACTTGGCTTTCCGCAGCCTGTCAAGCCCTGAGGTAGATTACCTTGATATGTACAACTCCAGCCACCGTTCATCTACCAACATTTCTCAACCATCTACCCAGGAGAGCCCAGGTGGGGCCAATGCCGCCTGGCTGGCCTATGCTGACTTCAGAGGTTCTGCACCAAAGCTGGACAATGATGAACTCTCCTTCCAGCAACCATCTGCATACTACTCAGATGGCCTAGATTCATCAAGGCGCCATGAGATGGGCAGCTTTGAGTGTGTAGATGTGGCTGTAGAAAGAGAGGACTTCAGAAAGGTAAGAAGAGGAGTGCCAAAGAGACAGATCCAGCTGAAGAGAAAGAATAATACTGAAGGGAAGCAGGGTGAAAGCAGTGAAAATAGTAGTCCTGGGGTACCAGGGATGGTGGAAAGCCCATCTCTAGACCGTCACTTCAGAGAGACATTTGTGAGACAACACAGTACACCAGCAACAATGCAAGAATGCTACCCTTCTGAGTGCAGCCCTGAGGCCAATCAACCAAATAAGAGAAAATCCAAACTCCAAAAATCTGCTTCTCTGGATGAAGCATGCACTAAAACCAAGATGGCTACTTGTCTCATCAAGAGTGTGTTGTCCAAGAAGATGCAAAGTGTTGATAAACAACCTGACCAGGCAGGAGAAGAAGTGAGCCCCACGTTTGAAGTAAACAGCCCACCGACAGAGAATGCAGTGGCAGCACTTAAAGAGTCTGACACGCATAATCTGAGCTCCAGTTTTCAATCAGATTATAGTCTTTCTTCTGAAGGTCTTCCTATGAGAGGAGAACCTAGCACAAAGGATGAAGCCAAATCACCAAAAATCTTTGGAGTGAGATCTAGTAATAGGCCAAGTTCATCCAGCAGCAGCAGAAGTGTTAACTTTTCACAGACTGAGAGTGAAGAGGCTGATTCTCAAAGCAGGAATGCAACTTCATTAAGATCTGAGATGAGATCAGAATTGAAAGTGCCATTTGAAAGTAACCAGTTACGAACTGGAGCACAACAAGCAGATGACAGTAAAGCATGGGAGGAAAGGGAGGGTGGTAACTCTGCAAATGCCTCTGCCGGGAAGCCAAGGGCTCCTTCTCCCACTGGAGCCAGCAGCATGCAGGCCAGGATGACAAATAGAGACCAGGAATGTGAAAACAAAGAGGACCCTAAACAACTGCAACAGGGTGACAAGGGTGCCTATATGTCAAGAACACAGGAGATTTCGCTCAAAGTCATGGAGAAAAAGAAAGCCTCCCTAAATGTCCGTCTCACACCTGAAGCAGAAAACAAACCTGATTCTTCTTCACCAGATATGTCTTTCAGAGAAAAGGAGGAAAGTGTAGAGACCGATGTAGATGAGAAAGCAGAGAAAGAAGAAGGAAATGGGAATAATCAAGTTAAGGTTCCCATTCACAAAGTTAGAGATGTGAGGCGGCTTGTAAAAAATACATATAATCTGTCCTTCAAGGCAACTGGTGCTGTAATGCCATCAAATGTGAATGAAGAAAGGATGGGAAATTATAATGAGGAAGGGAGGGAAGAAATAAAAGAGGAACGGAGGGAAGAGTTCATAGCAGGAGAGGTAAGGGAAGAAATTAGGAGGGAAGAGATGAGGGAAGAAAGGGAAGAGGAGTTCAGAGTGGAGAGGAATGAGGAGGTAAAAGATTCAAAGCTGTTAACTTTATCTCCACCTCTTCAGAGCGTAGGAAATCCTCTGTCTCGTCCACAACCAATGCAAATAGAATACAAGGCTGTTTGCTGGAAAGAAAACAAAAATAAAACATGCAGCAAGAAAGACTCAGAGAACCCAGGTGACAAATCCCAGGCTTCTCCGATGCTTGTAACTGAGTCCTCAAAGGCAAACACACAGAATTACAGAATAGAGGACACAGCAATTGCCAAGACATGTCAACATGCTGTAAACATGGCAACAGAAACACAAGAGATGAAGACAGAAATGCATAAAGTGCCAGGCAATGAGGACAAACCGGTGGTGGTTAGATCAGACAGAAAACCTCCGATGTTAGGAAGCCTCCCCAAACTGCCTAGTAAGGAAAGAGAGGTGTCCACTGCTGTAGTGTTAATAAGGGATGGATCCAGCAAGACTATGGCATCTTCAGCCCAAGAAGAGATTCCCACCCCACTCCAAGCCCCAGCTTCACCTGGGCCCACTACCTCTGGCAGTGGCCACTCAGTTTCTATGTTATTAAAGGAGAAAGGCTACCAAGCTGACATTGGAGCAGTGGTGGGTGACAACCAGAATGCAGGTGTAGGTAAAGGGGTTCCCTGCAAGCATGTGAACTGCCTGGAGATCCCCCTTCAGACCACCACTCCTTCAGATGGAGGTCGCATTGAGTCTCATAGAGAGAGGACATCCTCCTCTTCATCCACCACGTCTGGCCCTGCAGTAGTGTCTGACAACACAGACACCATTACAAAGAACAGAGAAGACAGCATTAAGCCTTCCGTAAAAGATACGGCAAAGCCAAAAAGTGCTTCTCCACTAAGGACTCCACTAGAGCAAACACCACCTCCCACCAAACAGAAGGAACTAGGAGATTTTGATGCAGTGAAAAGACTTGATCCTGCTTTTCCCCCAAGGTCCCCAGCAATAAGGAGATTCAGACCACAGCCAATTGAGGTTAAGTCACTGTCTAAAGAAACACAGAAACAAGAGATGCCCATAAACTCTATAGGAAACAACAGGCCTCAAACCATTGAAGTTAAATCTATAGCTAAAAATTCTCAAAAGCCAGCTGTGCCTCCAAAACCAAGCTGCAAATTTAAACCTGCAGATTTAGGAGCAATGCCAAATGAAACACAGAGACCATCAGCAACAACATTAACTGTAAAACCACAAGGTGAGGAGAGGCCTCAAACAATTGTTGTGTCCTCACCGACAATCTATAGAAAGATCCCCAGTGAGTCCACATCCACATCGAATTATACAAGAAAACTAGCTGTGTCTGCAGTATCCAGCCTCAAACCTCCACCATGCAAAACAACAGCAACCACAATCTCCAATCTCTCAAACCAGTCAACGGCACCACCAGAGACAGAGGTATCTAATGATAAAGGTCAGCAGCAAAAGCCAGGGGCCTTGTCTCAGATCTCTAGTTATACGCAAAGACCTACAAACTTAGTTACAACTCCAACATCAGCCACTGGCCCAGGTTTAACCTCAGCTGCCTCAGCTGGAGCCAACCAGTCAAGCCAGACAGCTGTTATGGATCCAGACAGCCAACCACAGTATACCAGGATGGCATACCCTCATGAACAAGCTATGCCGGTAACTTCAAACAATACAAAACCACCCGCTGCCGTTTCCATAACACAAGTGCCAGGATACACACAACAGCCTTGCTACAGATCACTCTCCAGTGAGCGCTCCCAAAGAACAGATGACCTGCGTTTTTATGCTTCAGATGACCCTCCAAGCTACGATGAAAGAGAGAGCTTCAGCCCACTCATGCTCCCAGATCTGACCCACAGGAGGTCAAATCGCTATCAACCCTCCTCCCGCCCTCCTCCCTGCTCTTGCACAGCTGGCTACCCTTCCCACCCTGGTCTCACCCCTCCTCACCATCACCGCAGCCCCCATAACCTCACTCCCCCTGCCCCTTCGCATTCTCCTGGACAGGCATTACCTTACCCAGTGGCTCAGCCTCCTCTTCGTACCCACCAGTGCAGACCTGACCCTCAGCTGATGAGCTACCAGCCTGGCTCTCCCAAATCAAGTCCTCTTGGTCAAAGTCAGCCACCGGCCATGTACCAGCCTCTTCACCAGCCTGCTCCCTGCCCTCCCCACCCCTCACACATTCAGGCCTGCCCTGCTGACCGCCCATTGCAGCCACCTCAACATATTGACCCTCGACGGCCCCCTGTCCACAGATCTCCCCAGCAACAGCCACCAGGCATGACTGGGGCTCCTTACAGCGACACTGGCCACAGCCACTCTCCTGGCCTTCCTCATATGGATCCCCAGTACCTGTGTGGCCCTCAAAGCCTGGGGCCATCCTATGGCTCTGAATACGGGGGTGACAGCTCCAGTTTGTACTCAGAGAGTAGCTTTGGACAGACACCTCGCAGAGTGCTCCTGGATCCTGAAACAGGGAAGTATTTTTATATCGAGGTGCCTGTACAGCCACTGAGGAAAATGTTATTTGATCCAGAGACTGGTCAATATGTGGAAGTGCTCATCCCACAGCAAGCAATGTCACATTCAGGACTCTATCCTCCTTCAGCGGCCCCTTACCCATCTCTCCACAATCCCAACGTGTACGCCCCTGCTCCGCAATACATGCCATATGCAGCTCCTCCTCCTCCAGCCCACCCCCAGGCTCAGCCCCAGCCACCCCGATATCCTGAGGCCTCTGCCACAGCAGCAATGCACCCAACCGGGCCTGGGGTCAGCTACAGGAATTCCTCTGGTCAGGGGTCCAAACCAGAGCCCCAGAACCATCCACAACTAGACCAGAGTTACCTGGAGGGTATGTATTATGTCCCTACAGGGATGAATGCAAGCCCCAATCCCACCCCACCAGACTATTATCACAAACACCCCCCCACCCTACCCCCATCAGGGGGGAAAAGGTCCTGAAATAGAGGATAGAGGCCGCCTTCCTGGAGCCTGTTGGGTTTTAAATACACAGTGTATAAAGGGGGTGTCTAATGTTAGCCTGTAATGTTATTTGAGTTTTCACATTTCTTTGGTTGTTGTTTATTTGCTGCTGCTTGTTCTGTGCTAGGCTGCTTTATTAAAATAAGATATATTATTCTTGAGTTAACAGTTTTGAAAGCACAAGTGAGGAAGCCTTTTTTATGAGGTGTTCTTAAGATTATCACCGAAATCTAAAATGATTTTTGATAAAGGGTAAGAACATTATACTTTAAGTCACCAGTAATGCACAGGCACTATAAATCAATAGCTTTACTCATTTACTGATGTGTGTACTTTAACAACAAATATCTCCAAAAACTTGAAAATACTGTTTAAAAGAACCTCATATTTATTTTATTATTGTGTCTCTACAATTGGATGAGTGAGTTTGTGCACATGATGTCTGGAACAACAATGTCAATAAAACATGTCACATATGCATCCCTCTTTTTTCATGACATCATCTATTTTTCTATCTATTCTTTCTATATTTAACTATCTCAGCATTTGTTTACCAGCCAGATCATGTAAGTAAGGTGGAAAAATACTGGGACTTTACAATCATGTCACCTTTGTGCTACTATAGTCTTGCAAGTCCTTCAGATGAAATAACATTTCTGAAGTTATTATTCTTCTAATGTGTTGTTTTCAGGAAAATATTTTATGTATCATCAGATATTATAAAGTCAATCTTTCAATCAAATGATGAACCAAGCAGTGAGAGATCTGGCTAGACAGGAATACATTTACTGAATGAGTTTAAAGAAGTGATTCTTTTGTCACATGGGGCATGTGAACACACAACACTGTCCCAACTCCTCATCTTGGTGTTGGCACACAACATCAATGCACTAAATTAATCAAAAGTACACTATTGAAAAGGCTACAATGTGGGGTTTATTAAACCAAATCCAAGTTTTAACAGCCCATTAAACATTCTCCAACAACAAAAGGTATAGGACTTTGGTGATCAGCATAGTAGATATAGCGAGATATTTCCACCTTAATGTTATGCTTTGAAACCAGCTTTTAACAAAGCATGAATTATTTAGCTTTACCCCTCAGCTCTGTCTCTCTTGGCCTTTAGAGGGCACTGTCACTATTAACACTACACAACAGCAAACAATAGTTTATAATACTGATATATCAGACAGTGGTTTTGGTGTTGATTTGGAGTCACTAGGTCACATGACGTGGAAGTTATTGCCGGGGGCCTAATCTCAGATCTAGTCATCGTCATGACTTTTGTAAGACAATGAAAGCATTAATATTAAGTATAAAGAGATGGCTCCGCTACTGTGATTTTGTAGCAGAAGATTGTGCTACTGTGACCACTGGATGGTGCCACAGACCACTACAGTAGCACTTCCAGTCTGAAGGTATGTCTAAATCTGCTAAGCTTTCATCAGATGACCCAGTCACTTGAGCGATTTCCTAATCAAACAATGATCCTGTTGACTAGACCAGAGCCTAATTTGTAAGTTCAGACTAATGGACTAAACTGGTACCCCTTTGTTTGAAGTGGATGGCAATAAAACTTATCTGACTAGTAGCTGGTAGGGACTTTAATGTGTTATGTGTGGCTGTGAGTGTGCATGTGCTTGATTGAACAAAATACTGTTTCATCTGAACTCCAAGCCTCAAAATATTCATGTTCATTCACATCTGGAGGGGATGTAACACCTGGCAAAACGTTCAGTCTCCATGTGTGGGTAATTTTCAGGTCTAGAAACCTGCTTCACCAGACCCTTTAAACAACCTCCAAAACTCTTCATTATTAGGAATGCCTACTAAACCAGAGGAGAATGCTGTGATGTTCTACTAATTATAAAGATACCGGCTTAATCCCTTCAACAGCCAGCGTGTTACTGAGGAAGATACTGAAGCTGTGTAATTAAATCAAGTCATACAAGTGAGAAGAAAGGTTCCCACCAAGTTAATCAGTTAGAAGGTAATCATTGCACAGCAACAGCACGTAACAACAAAACACTAGTGCCAGCACACAGGTCCATTTTCATCCACAGTGACATATTGGCTAAGCCAGTAATAATGTAAAATTCAAAATGATCCTGTATTTATTAATAGTTCACAGAAAATAAGCTTGGGCCCAATGTGTCTCCTTACAACTTCCTTCTCTGAACTGGTCAATGGGATGGAATGTTTAGCTATCTAAGTTTATCGCCATGGTCCTGTATTGTCACAACTTGGATAATGATTACAGACACACCTTAGGAACACACACTAATCTGTATAAACCTCCTGGCACACCTAATACAAAAGCACTTCCAGACAAACACACACACTTCCACACACCTTGGACCTGCTCCAAGAAGCAGCTTTATGGACTTATCTAACTTTTCTGAGTTAAACCCAGAACCTGTTCAAATCTGATGTCAAAAGACCTGTTCTGTAACATTTATTTTTACACTGTCCAGCAAACCTGCATCTTGAAACAGATCCCAGCACAGTGTGGCTTATTGTATTATTATACTTACTTGTGGTATAACAAGTGTTCTTGCTTTAAATTAGCCAAATATAAAATTACTATAATAAAGTAGCTTCTTTCTAATGATCAATAAGCATTAAACATTTTCCAGCCACATCCTCCCCATTGTGTATGAATTCCAATCGAACACACACACAAAACAGACACCATGACATCATTAGGAGGGCTCTGGGCTCTTTCCAGTGCGTCTGTTATTGTTATGGTTCTCTGACCACTTTTTTATCCCACAATGTGAGGACACACACATGGAGAACAAACACACACACAGACACACTGTAGGAGTCCCATCATCCGTGCCGCACCCAGGAGTGAGTGGGTGAGTTCGACTCTGAAGCCACGTTTGATGTGGCCCCACTGGGGTGCTGATTGGTCAACAGGAAAATCCACTCTGCATTGTCTTTCTGGTATCAGGAATGGAGAAAAGAGTGGGTGGCATGGGCCAGGCAGCTAGATAACAGGCAGAGTTTTATGTGATGATAAGCTAGTTGTTTGGAATAAAATGTGCAGTCTGCTTCCTGACATTTTCCAGTGAGTCTCCTCTGCCTGTGCAGCCAGATATTAGATGTCAATAGTTTATAAAAGTACAACTAATGATGACTGTATTGCAGACTCAGATTGAAATAGTGAGTGAGTGTTTTGTGTGTCAGTCAGTCTGTTCATGACTCTTTGAGTGTGGTGAATCTATGAAAGGGAGGAAACCAGATTACAAGGTGGATGTCTGTTCCCTGTCAGACAGATGTTAGTAACCTCTAGCTGACTGGCAACCTTTTTTGTGTGGTCAGTCTTAGCTGAGAAAGGCCAGCAACAACAATATGTCCACATTTTATGAACATCATGATTTCAAACACCTGTCCTGTAAACTCTTCTTGGTTTGTAACCCATCAAAATGAAGCAGTGCCTACTTGTGTCACAGGTTTTACGCATCTGGGGTGATGATGGAACAGTGGATGAAAAATGCTTTTGATGTGGGAGACCTGAGTTTAATTCTTGCTGCAACACACCAGTGTGTCCCTGAGAAAGACATTTAACCCCTAGGTGCTCCAGAGGCGTGCAACTTATGATATACGTGTCAATTTTAAGTTGCTTTGGATAAAAAGTGTCAGCAAAATGACAAAAAAAATTATTTTTTATTTTTATTCATCTATCAGTTGTGAGCTAAAAGACATTTTCCCCAAAAGATTGAAGAACCATCAGAAAGAATTAGGCTAATCTAAACTATTTGGTAAAATATTTTTGTCTTCTTTCCTAAGCCATTAATCTTGCACCCCTTCAGATTTATCTTGTCCCAGTCCCCAGGTTGAGAACCGGACATTATATACATGCTACCAAATGATCGCAGACTTTTGTTTTGAAAAAATAAGAGGTACCAAAATGTTGATTCTAAACACTTTAAATAAAAATACTGCATCCGAGTTATGAGTGTAATGTACAGCTTTCTTCTCTTTTGCCTATTTGATGTGTAGCCTACCAGTAACACCAATCTTCCTTCAGTTCTATAGGCCTACTGGGGGACCTTTATTGTCTCACACTGCCATATGCCACCCAAGACAAACTTTGCCTTTATTGATTGTGAAAAAACGGAGAAGATGCTTTGAAAAGTGCTGCATAACAAGACAGAGCAAAAATTCAACAAAATTCATTGCTGTTCATCTTCCCTCACCTGTACACTCAGATGAATGACCTTAAAAGGCTTTATTCGCGGAGGAAGCAGGCGGGGTTACAGCCAGTGTGAGCATGCGTGCGCGTGCGAGCGTGTGCTGATTGTGTAAGAGGCAAGAGAGAAGAGAAGCAAGAAGAGCGGAGATAAGAGAAAGGAGGACTATGTAAGACGCCAGGGAACACCTAAAATGTGCCTTCAATCACCTGGCAATCACCTTGTTGCCTAGCAGCAACAGAGCATAATAATGACTCCGTGTTGCAAGTTACCTGCGTGTGTGTGGGCCCTTGTGTGTCATACAGACCTCCCTAACCGCCAGGTGGTGTGCCTACCTGTCTGACTGTGCAGATTTCACGTCATCTCCTGTGATTGCTTCAGCCCAAACTCCTGTAATAATGTTCATCTGCTACAAATGACCAGTCTTTACATGACTCACCTGTACAGTAAGTACAATATATTTTTTTTGTAATTATTGATTTTGGCCAAGTGCTTAATCACACAGAGAAGCTCTAGATGGAGATTATTGTTACATTGGCTGAACAGCTACATTATAATTGACTGAAAAGGGCTCTGAAAGGAGATGTTTTCATTCATAGTGGGAATCATTAGTCTAGACTAGTCTAGTTCCTTTAGTGCCACAGGACCCCTCATGTCTAGGCAGGAAATTGTTACTTATAGTATGAGTCTCCTCTCCTATCCCTCCTCTCCAAGCCTAGGGCTCACTCACACACCATGCACATAAACATACTTGCATTATCTAGTGTTGAGGATGAGGTAGCCAACAAAGTGATGTCATAGCCCGATCACTTTACCCGTGGTCCTCTTCCTCCCATGACCTGGACGGCAGATCGATGAGGAATGGAAGGAATGAGACGAGAGCAAGACTGAGTGCATGTGTGTGTAAGTGGCTGATGAGAGAGAGAGCAAAACAGCCAGAGGGAGAGAGACATGAGTTATTGACAGGAAAACGCTCTTTGCTGCCTCCATCCTGAATCATTTAGAGCTGATGACATGTCTAAATTCTTACTGATACCATGCCATGTCAGCTGTTGGCTACACAACGCTCTTCAAAGCTCCACATATTGAGCTGGACAGCAATATTAGCCCACATGTGCTGCAGCCAACTGCACACAGGCCTGGCAGGTATTACCGAGAGGGAATCTCCTGGGAATCAGCCTTTGGTCTCGTTCAGTGGTCAGGTCCTTTACAGGGTGGTGTGTATGGGTCACTGGATTCCTCGAGCATGAGGTAAAAGTAAT